ATTTCATGTTTGGACGATAGATAGTGGAAATAGTATTAAAATATAAAAAAAAAATGAAAGTTTATATACTATTTTTACGGAATCATAGCTAACATTACATGCTAAAGTATAATCGAGTTGAGCCGTATTCACATGAGAATATTGTACATTAAATAATTTTTCACGATCACTTTTTGCTTGTATATTTCCATCACATTTTGGACTTTCACATCTTGAGAGTTGAATATTTTAAAGAATGATAAATGAAAAGAGAATTAGGCCACGTTTGGTATTGATTTTGGAGTTCAAGTTCTGATTTTTAAACAACCAGAAGTTATTTTAGATGTTTGATAAATTATATAAAAAAGAATTTAAAAAAAAACTAATTATAGAAGAATTTATATCATCTAACAATATATTTTGAGAAGCAAAAAAAACGGTAGCTTTTCGAAATTTGCTTTTAACTTCTCAGATTATTTATAATTAAAAAGGAAAATTACATGTAACCCTTCTTTTTAAATTCCAATTTCAAAAATCATTTTTAATTATTCCTTTTCAACATTCAGGTGGTAATTACTTTTTTAAGGAAAAAAAAAATACATCACCCATAAACACAATACCCACTCTAATCAATCAAAATCTCTCTCTCTAAAAGGTTCTCCATTTTACCATATCCATTACCCACACAACTCCGGTAGATTCTTTCCATTTCCACCCTTACTTCCACATACAATTCCTCCACCAGCATTACCATCATCCATATATAACGGCATCCCCACCTCGACGGCATCATTCTTCACAATAAACAAATGAAAATCATAATAAATATTATTCGAAGTTTCCTCCATAAATCTAGTAGTAACATAAAGTGAAGAAGAAGTATGATGTAGCTATAAGAAAATAAAGGAATGAATTGCTCCCTTTGCAAAAGGGAGAATAACAAAAACCAGATATATGCTGGAAGAATAATTTTACAGAAAACGCTTTTTCTTGTATATTCAATTGCCTAACAACACACGTATATATACAAGGAGTGAGAATGATCTAGAATATTTACACAAATTGAATTAATTGACTGAAAAGAAAAATGCTATACAATAGAATTTAACAAAAAAAATGTTATGTAACAGAATGGTCTTCAATGACATTTCTACCCTGCATCATCATGCTTCATCTGATGGCTATTTTCTTGTTGATCATCAACTCGTTGCTGCTGACTGTACATTATTTGTGACCCACATTTCAACACCCCCCGCAAGATGGAGAGTAGTTGTCAACAACTCCCATCTTGTTCATGTGCTGATAAAATTGAGAAGAGTTTAGTGACTTTGTTAAAATGTCAGCAACTTGAGAGCTGTTACTAAGATATTTAGTAATTATGCTTCCTTCCTAAATTTTGTCCCGTATCAAATGGCAATCCAATTCAATGTGTTTAGTTCTTTTATGGAAAACTGGGTTGGCTGCTATGCGGAGAGCAGATTTGTTATCACAGAACAAGAGAACAGCCTGTGGATGATTGATTTTCAAGTCTTGAAATAAATACCTAAGCCAAGTGAGCTCACAACATACATTTGCCATTGCTCTATACTCTGCTTCTGCTGAAGATCTGGATACTGTGCTTTGCTTCTTTGATTTCCAAGATATTAAGGATCTTCCAAGCATCACGCAATATCCTGTTACACTTCTTCGTGAATCTGGACAAGCCCCCCAGCCTGGATCACTATAGGCATTAAGTTGCAGATCTGAATTAACAGGGAACAGCAGTCCTTGTCCTGGTGCTCCTTTTATGTACCTTAATACTTTATTAGCAGCATTGAGATGGGAAGTCCGAGGAGAGCTCATGAATTGACTTAGTAGTTGTACTGAGTATGAGAGGTCTAGTTTGGTTATAGTTAAATACAATAACCTCCCAACAAGTTTTCTGTACATACTTGGATCAGGAAGAGGCTCTCCATCCATCTTAGAAATCTTCACATTTTGATCTAAAGGTATCTTTGTTGGCACGCATCCTATCATTCCCGAGTCTGTCAGTATGTCTAAAGCATATTTTCATTGGCAAATATGAATACCTTTATCAGACCTTGCTACCTCTATTCCCAAAAAAATATTTTAGAGTGTCCAAATCTTTGATCTTGAATCTCCTGTCAAGCAAGACCTTGAGACAGTTAATGCTATCAATACAATTACTGGCCACTATTATGTCATTTACATACACGAGGATAGCAGTAAAAGAAACCTTGTTCAATGATGAAGGTTGAGAGCTTGGAGTACCATTGTCAGGATGCTTGTTTTAGCCCATACAAGCTCTTTAACAGCCTGCATACCTTTGAGTGCTTCGCAGCAGGATGGCCAGGAGGCATCTCCATGTATACTTCTTCATCCAGATCCCCATGTAGGAATACATTATTTACATCAAATTGATGTAAATGCCATCCTTTTACAGCTGCAACAGCAAGTAATGTCCTAACGGTCACCATCTTTACTACAGGTGAAAACGTCTCATGGTAGTCCAATCCCTCCTGCTGTGTATATCCTTTTGTCACAAGCCTGGCTTTGTACCTTTCAAAAGTACCATTTGCCCTATACTTCACCTTATACACCCACTTATAGGCAATAGATTTCTTGTTAGGAGGCAATTCTGTGACAATCCATGTGTTATTCATCTCAAGAGCTGCAATTTCATCATTCATGGCTTTACACTAGTCAAGTGAGGTTAATGCTTCTTGATATGTGTTAGGCTCAATGTGTGTGGTTATGGAAGTTATGAATGCTTTGTGATTATTTGACAATCTATGATTTGATATAGTAGCGTTGATGGGAAAAGAGTTACCTGGAATGTGAGAACCTTTGTCCTTGTCCAACTTTTGTGATGGATGAAATGAGGCATGCTGACAGATATAATCCTCAAGGTAAGTGGGAGTTTTCTTGATTTTTGAGGATCTACGTGTTGGTTAATAGCTGGTCATCATGTCTTCGGGCAATTCTTGTTCAACTTCTTGAAAATCTGGTGAGATAGTTGACCTTACAGGGTAGCTGTTTGGCTCATGAAGTGAGGAGTTTTCAGTCTCAGTCCTTCCTGTTATTACTTCATCAGTGCTGTTTGTAAGGAGGAAAGGAATAGGGTTTTCTGTTTCAATGTTATCAAGAATAGGTTGTGATGATCTTATGTTAGCATTTTCAGATGCAATGTAGTCTTTGTAAGGAAATTTGTCTTCATAAAACACTACATCTCTTGAGATAAATGTTCTTTTGGATTCAAGATCAAGGAGCTTGTACCCTTTATCCCAAAAGGATATCCTAAAAACACACACCTCCTAGCTCTTGGCTCAAACTTAGTTCTATGATTGGCCAAGGTTGAAGCAAAAACAAGGCATCCAAAGACTTTAAGATGTGAGTAGTTTGGCTTGTGTTTGAATAGCATTTCAAAAGGAGTTTTGTTTTCAAGCAAAGGCGAAGGTGTTCTGTTTATCAAATATATTGAAGTGAGAATGCAATCACTCCAGTACTTCATGGGGATAGCACTTTGGATTTTTAGGGCTCTTGCAACATTAAGAATATGCTGGTGTTTCCTTTCTACTATTGCATTTTGTTGTGGTGTTTCAACACACGTTTTTTGGTGTACAATTTCCCTTTTATGGTAGTATTCTTTCATTTCAAATTCTCCCCCATTGTCTGTTTTAATCACCTTTACTTGTGACTGGAATTGAGTGTTTATTAAAGTACAAAAACCTTGCAAAGTTGCAGCAACATCTGATTTAGCTTTTAACATATAGACCCATGTACACTTGCTGAAATCATCAACTATAGATAGGAAATATTTGAATCCATCATGGCTAGTTACAGTGCAAGGACCCCAAAGGTCACAATGTATGAGATCAAAGGTTCTCATAGTTTTATGATGACTGACAGAAAATGGCAATATATGCATCTTAGCCATAGGACACACAGAACAAGGTTCCTTGGTGAGCTTAGGGATGTAATTGATACTTAACAAATCTAAGCTAGATTGAGATGGATGTCCAAGCCTATAGTGCCAGAGATCAAAGTCCTTGTTATTGCTGAGAATAGATGCTGACATAGAAGTTCTATTTGTGATAAGATTAAGGGCTTCTGTTAAAGCTGAAGGAGGAATTTGAGATTGCTGCAAATGATATAAGCATTGCCTCACTTCACCCATCCCAATCATTTTCCAAGCCAAATTGTCCTGCAAAAAAATATTTTTCAGATAGGAATCTTAGACAACATTTAGAAGTTTGTGTCAACTTTCTAGCTGATATTAAGTTGAATGAAAAGAATGGAACACAAAGTACATTGTTTAAAATGATCTTTTCTGTGACTTTTACAGTTCCTATGTGTGTGACATTAACTAGATCACCATTTGGAAGGAAGACAGAATAAGACACTTTAGCTTGAATGTTGCTGTAAAGTGAAGTACAGCAGACCATGTGGTCTGTTGCTCCTGTGTCGATTATCCATGGTGTGTTAGGGTCCTTACCAATACTAGGTTTGATGTCATAGGCTGATAAGCAAGACGAGATACCAGGAAGTTTGGAAGCTTGTGTGTCTGCAGGGGGTGTGTTAGGGAGGCATTTACTATTTTGTGAGTGCAGTAAAGCCAAGAGTTGAGTATGCTGCTCCTGAGTGAATGTCACTTGATTATCATTGCTGTTATCTCCTTTTCCCTGTAGGGAAACAAGATTAGAACAGACCTTGGCTCCTCCATATAACCTGTGTCCATGGGGGTATCCATGAATCTTATAGTATTTGTCCACAAAGTGTCGTGTCATGTGGCAGTGGCTACAAGTGGATTTGTTGGGAATGGCCTTGGTGCGTCTCTCTAGTGAATGTCCAGGCACCTTGCAAATGGTGCAGTAGTACTTTCTCTGTCCCATCCCATTCAGCCTTGTGACATTAGGGAAGTTTCCTTTGGTTGCAAAAACCATAGAATCAGGTACAGAAGCATCAGTTGAGATTTGTCTTCTTTTCTCCTCTTGCCTCATTCAAAGTGGGAAAATGCTTGATCAGCAGGATTGGGCCTTGATTTCCTTATATGAATCATTCAACCCCATCAAAAACTTCATTACCCAATCTCTTTGTTGGTTCTCAACGGCAGATTTAAAACCTCCACAAGTGCAATTGGGAATGGACTCATAATTCATCAATTCATCAAGGAGTGTCTTATATTTTGAGAAATACACACTTACAATGTCTTCGTTTTGCATTACGGTAGCAATGGACTGTTTTACTTCATAAATTCTTAGGGCATTTTGTTGTCCTAACTGATGCTCCAGGTCCAGCCAGAGTTGGCGAGCCGTGTTAGCATAAAGTGTACGAGATTTAATATCAATGGACATAGTGTTTTGTAGCCAAGCAATTACTATATCGTTGCAACGTAGCCAATGTTCCATCAAAGAATTATTGGAATATGCTGGCTCACGAAGGCTTCCATCGATGAAGCCGAGTTTGTTTTTAATTCGAAGCACCCTTTTGATAGACCTTGCCCAAGCATAATAGTTGGTGTTGTCAAGCACATGAGTGACTAATATTGCCCCTGAATTGTCGTTTCCCCCAATATAGTAGGGACTGCAAGAATGGGTATGATCATTTGGATTTGGATTGTGATGAATGTTTAACATTGGGTTGGTGTTGCCGTTCTGCCCAGTGCTTGTATTTGGATTTGTTGCTTCCATGGTGCTCAGACTTTCAGCCATATCTTGGCTCTGATACCATATAAGAAAATAAAGGAATGAATTGCTCCCTTTGCAAAAGGGAGAATAACAAAAACCAGATATATGCTGGAAGAATAATTTTACTGAAAATGCTCTCTTGTATATTCAATTGCTCAACAACACACGTATATATACAGGGAGTGTGAAGGATCTAGAATATTTACACAAATTGAATTAATTGACTGAAAAGAAAAATGCTATACAACAGAATTTAACAAAAAAAAATGTTATGTAACAGAATGGTCTTCAATGACATTTCTACCCTGCATCATCATGCTTCATCTAATGGCTATTTTCTTGTTGATCATCAACTCGTTGCTGCTGACTGTACGTTATTTGTGACCCACATTTCAACAGTAGCAGATCTGCATTAGGTGTCGATATTGATGCCATCACCTTCGGCGAAGTCATTAGAGTCTTATTTTTTCGAAATTCACGTAGATTTTTTCTCTAAAACAATTTCTGCAATTAAAAGGCAACGTAACAGAGATCTTATTCTTAGTAATTTACTTAATCCTTTTAATTGTTTATTTTAATATTAATTATAATTATTTTCTTGTTTGATTTTGTTCATTGAATCAATTGCCTTACAAGTGACAATGTGGTGGTGCCTTTTTTGATTTATTTTAACCGTGCGGTGAATGATGGCCAAAAATTAAAATTGGAGGTTGAGTTTTAATAATTTTTTAACCTCAAAAATGGCAATCTTCTTATCATGGAGCAATTCGCAACTTTAAGATACTAGGATGGGCAGAGTTGGTTTGAACACGAAGACGGTTATGGGCAGTATAGTTGGTGATGTGGGTGGCAGCAAGACAAGGTCTCAAAAAGGTTGGAATTTCTTTAAGACAATTCATTGTCACATACTGGGCAACCAGTTCAACGTGAAAAGTCCTATTTGTTCATATGAAATGTAAATAGGATATGGTAAGGCAGAAATGATTCTGCCTTAGAATTTAGATTGGGAATTCTCTTAAGAGGTGAATTTGTAAGTATGTTCTCATGGTTTGTGACTAATAGAAATGTTGTGGTTTGTAACAAGGGAATAACTTGGCAATGGCAATGATGGTGGGGGTAGAGTGTGGCGGGATGAAAGTTGACTATGAACAATTATTGAGTAATTGTGACCGTCTATATATAAATTGTAACCAATTAATTTAAAATTTTGTAATCGATTAATTATTTGTGACCAATAAAAATATAGGTTTTGTGACTAAATTTACAATTGTGATCCACATTTTATTCTTGACCGTGACATTCTATGACTTGTGGTTCATAAGTAGTTGTAACCATAAATTACTTGTTATTGTGGCTGACATGTGAACATGACCACAAATTATGTCTTATTGTAATCATAACATGTTTGATTAAATCATAAGTGGTCACACTTATCACATATTATACAATTTATTGGTCATGGTCACAAACAACACAAGGTTGCATTCACATACCACAAAATTACATATGTCATATGTCACATCTAAAATGTTGTGACCTATAAGTGAAATTAAATAGGCCACGGTCACATAGCATACAATTCATTGATCACAGTTACACATTAAGTCACAAATCACACAAAATCACAGCACATGCCACATAGTTACATATAAAGTCACATGTGACCTTTAATAAATGTTGTGACCTATCATTGAAATTAACCATGTAACAACCATATACCATAAAATTTGCAAGTAACAGTCACACACTAAGTTACAAATCACACAAGATCGCAATCACATATCACATAATTTATGAGTCACAATTATATATTAAGTCATATGTTACATCTAATAAATATCGTGACCTATAATTGACATTAAATAATCACATACTATACACTTTATTGGCCACGGTCATACACTAAATCACACAAACTTGCAATCATATACCATCCAATTTATGAATCACGATTACATATATTAATCATAAATCACGATGAATGAGTCACTAATTGTTTATTAGTCACAAATCATGCAATTCACTTGTCACAATCACTATTTTAATTATTTGAATGATCACAGTCACATAATAAATCACAAATTACACAATTTTCAAGTCACAAATAATAATCGAGTGTGCTGAAGGATCCATCTTCAATAGGTATTAGCCCATTCCCTATCTATAAATATTAGTACTTTGAATTATTCATTTTATCAACCCAATTGTGCAGGCTGCTTGTCTATTTACTTTAATGATTCCTCCATGAAAAGAAAAGAAATTAAAGACAAATCAAAACAATTATTCCTCCTCTCTCCTCCACCATTACAGTACTTATCCTCTTTACATCGCCATCCAAAAATTGAGCAACGGGCTACTGTATAATACCATAAGACTATTGAAAGCTTTAACCATACTTGTTCAACATATTAAGCCAATTGAGATTCTTAATAATTGGGACACTCCCTCGTTTTGGTCTATATACAAATAGGCCGTCGGAGGAAGAGATTGCTATCACCGACATATTCTAGAAGGATTATCCCCATCTCTAGTCCCAATCCTTGTTCATGTTGTCATAGCAGCATATTCTATAAAGTCTCTAGAAGGTCTATATACAAATATTCTAGAAGGATTATCCCCATCTCTAGTCCCAATCCTTGTTCATGTTGTCACAGTAGCCATTAAGAAAAGAGTATTAGTTGTGAGTTACTGCATTTTTTCTGCTAGGAGTCGATCAAGATGTAGGTGGGACAATTAGAGCTTTGTAATTGCAACCGTGTGTTCAATAAAGTGCGTTTAGAGAGATAAATGATGGATGAAATGCCAGTCATGAAGGACGTCGTCGAATTTTCCACCACCTATAGATCAATTTGACTGGAAAAATGGAAGAACTTTAGAGAGAGAAATTAGAGAGAGAAGTGGTATTCTGCTGGAAAAGAAAGGAGTGGTATTTATATATTTTCAAAAATAATAACTATAACCTGATTTTTAAATATTTTTATAAGTTTGTTAGAAGTGAAATTGTATATTTAAAACATTGTATTTATGTATTTTATCAATTTAATTAATTTAATTAATTTGTTTTTTATCCTAGGTTTATTAATATTCTAAAAATATACTAAGTAACCAAATTGCAACAAGTCTGATGCATTAAAAGCAATTTAGTTATATATTTGTTATATGGACTATACTTTTATTTTCTAATTTATAGTTTTTAAGTTTAGTAGATATTCTATTTTTCATTTTAAAATAACTACCATGAATGCATTGTCTTAAAAAAAACACATGATATTATTTCATATTCTTATGAAAGTTAAAACAAATTTTACAATATTGCTAATGAAAAAAACAATAAAAAAGGTTAGTAATTGTGTACCGGCACAATAATAAATTACTTTTAATAAAATGTTGATTACGTGACTAGCAATTTCGAACAAAAGTTTACAAAACATTGAACTAATTTTTTTTATTTTTTTTCTTTCAACATAGCAAAAACGATAACGACATCAATACCAAACAACACAGAAAATAGGAATATGTTGAGATATTGAAATCAATTGACAAGGAAACTCATCAAAATAATTTTTCTTTTTCTTCATTTTTTTTTTTTTAAATTGTCCTCCATAGTGGATCTAAATTCCATAAGATGTCCCCTGCACTAGTTATCGCAGTTGCTGTTATCTTGTTAATTGCCCCCAGGGCACATCTCCAAGTGGTAAAAAGGGGGGGTGGAGAAATCCAACTTTGCTTGAGGCTGTCGCGTCAAGGGTTCGAATCCTGAAATATGAATTTGGCTCTTGGGTAAGTGCAAGTGTACAAGCAGCCTTCCACCCTATACCCTTAGAGACATAATCTGCGATTTACCTCCCTCACGATACTTTAGGGCAAGAGCGGTGGGGGACCCTTAAAATTGGGGTTCAACCTTTTTTATTATCTTGTTAATTATTAGATGGGTTGGCACGGTCTAGGCCTGATGAGCGATTCGGGCCTCCCTATGTCAGCCCACGTGTTTTGAAAAGAAGAAAATTACATCTGCAATACCATTTTTTTTAATTTATTTTATTTATTTATTATTTTTTTTTTTTGTTAACTACGCCATATTTTTATTACAATAAAAGTCTCCAACTATTACTCATTTTCACACTTATATCGTAACCGTTTTTACAACATTTTTATTCACAACTTTATATTAATGTGAACATCTTGTTTTAATGATTATTTCTGCCAAAAAATTTCGTTAGGATGTCACAAATAAAAAATAAAATCTTTGCCTCTCATGTTTTTATTTAAACAAAATAAACAACAAATATAAATAAAAATTTGACAAAATATTTGCTCCTCATTTCAATGCACTTTAGCACATGGACAAGATGTGAAAATATAAGGAGTTTATGATAAAAATGTAAGGAAAAAAGTTGAGAACATAAGCACATAAGAGAGGTTGGAGACCTTTATTGGAACTAAAACGTGGTGTGGATGATAAAAATTGCTCCACCCTCTTATCAGTTAAGACTCTATCCACTGCACACAACTCCAAGTTATCCTTTATATACACATACACGAACCAAAAGCTTAGCAACACCAAGCAAGTCCAAGAAAGGAAAAGGCTCACTGGTGAAGCTTATGTGCCAACAAACCATAGAAGCATAGCAGATATACAGCTAGCTCAACACCACAACCAGATGGATCCCTAACAGAGATTGCACCAATCACGCGGATTTTTGTTAATATTAAAGAGGGCCAAAAGAAAGAATCAAAATAACATAAAACCACTAGCACAAGAACTACTGCATTTACAAAGGGAAGGGGGACTGGCTTACTATGCCCAACCTTAAGAGCTACATACAAGAATTGAATAAAATCTAAATTATAAGCTCAGAATAGGGACTGTAACGAAATGAAAATACAAGAATAATTCTGCAAAGTTATTGCTGAAAAACAACTAGAGAACAAAACCCAATCTACACGAAAATGAAGGATAAGAGCTCAACAATTTCAGCAGACTATTGATGTAACCCGTTCTCTGGCATACTTTCCTCATCTGAGAAACTGAACAGGTACTTTTCTGCAAATCTTATCTTGATTATGAGAACTTCAGGGAGACTTATAAGATACATCTTCACATTTTCTGTCTTTAGACACTGTAAATATCAAATGATGATGCTTGCTCATGGTTCAGCTTTTCTTCTGGTCATGCATCTGGAGAAGTTATCATTGAAAAATTATGTGACCACAGAAGAAAAAAGAGAGATTTTCAATGTCAAGTAAAGTTGATAAGAAGTCCATAATGGAATTTTATAGATGATTAATCTGATATGGATTAAGTGCTGACCCTAATTTAGGATAGAAAAATAAATAAATAAATAAATAAATAAAATACATGGATTTTTAATTGTACACGTCCGCTCACTGTTACAGGTTACAGGTTTTCATTATGAAAATGAAAATACCAATGGTGATCTCATGCACCTCAGTTTGTATCTTATACTAAACAGCCCCCTAAAAATCCTTTGTAGATTGTAGAAATATTAGGGCGACCAAATTCAAACGCCCTCAAAAATCCTTTATAAGTGTACACGGTGTATAGCATGATCAGGCATCGTACATTCCAACATATTCATCATTGCACAATGATAAACTTTTGAAATAGTAATCCATATAATAAAATAGGTAACGGAGAAAAAGAAAATATTGTTATTGGCTTAACTTTAACCTTAGACAGTATCATGATTTATCAAATAAATTCCTTAAACATAGATTTGTTTTCAGGATTAGAAATAGGCATAATTGGACCTGCTTTTTATGCATCACTAATAATTTGGGACATCAATTTTGTTAAAGCCGCTTTAGACCCAAGAAATCCTGACAATATTCATCAAGTTGATGATTATCTACGTCAGAAGGAAGAAGACAGGATCAACAATATATTTGCTGTCAAAAGATTGCGATTAACAACTGAATTGCTTCTGCTAAAGTCCTTTTAAATGAATGCTTTAACATTTGAAGTATGTTAGTCGAGGGCATTTTATTGGGTCAGCAGAATCCGCACACTAAGTGCATGTTTGTCAAAGCTTAAAATTGCTTATAAGTAGTGGGTCCCAAATAAATGAGTGTCTAAAAAGTAGGTAACGGTTGTGGATCCCATGGAATTTGTTAATAAAAATTGAGTTTGACCAAGTTATGAGCAATTATAAACTTTGACAAACATGCACTAAGTTAATAAATATATAGATATGTATTGAAGGGAATAAGATAAACATAGATCCAGCATGGAAGCACATAAATTCAGTTTCTTAACGTCTAAATAGCATATAGCATAATTACACATGCAATTAAGCACTACAATAACGTTCAGTAAATGCTTGCTTACCCATTGGGAAGCACGTGATATCAAGGGATTGATATGCATCTCTTTTTTATTTCAATTTTTCGTAATTCTTGTAGCTGATGAGCTATTTCATGAATAAACTCTAATCCATCATTTCCATTTTGGAGTGCATTAAAAGCATGCTTGAGGAAATCACAGTCAGTCTCAACTGCTTCCAACCGATCACGAAGGTCTGCTATTCCTTTCTCAAGTGTACCCGAGTTTATTTGAACTCTATTCATGGACAATTTACACCTATCACTATCCATAGTAACATTCATTTCATTAACAAAATGATTGTCCTCAACTAAATCACTAGGCATGTCCTGTGAAAGACTTCTATTTGATCCTGATACATCTTTCTGCAATGGCAAACTGTTGTTCTCATTATGTTCATCTAACCGAGTCTCCCCATCGACAGATAAGTTTTCCAGATTATCAATTTCACTTGTAAAATTTTTGGAGTTTACACCATTTGGCATGCCATTTGGTATCCCATTAAAGGCAGCTTGATGAAGCTTTTCCTCCAACTTCTTCAAACATTTTGAAATGTAGTGTGTTTCATCCTCGAAGTTTAATATTGAAATATTTACAAGTTTAGATTTTCCGCTACCTTTTAAAAGTTCTGTAGACTTTGAATCACTAGGAACCGTAGGACTATTCTCAGCATGATTCTCAACAATTAAGTTTTTTCTCTCCAATTTAAGCAGATCCTTGGCCGCTGACTCATTTAGGAAATTACTTGTGTAAAACTCGAACTCCGCTTCCAAATCTTGCACTTCCTTCTCCTTTTCAGATAGGAGTTCATTAGCCTTTTCCAGTGCTTCCATATCATGCTCTGCTTGTTCCTCCATCATTCTTAAGTATTGCAAGGCTTCCATATGAAGTGCTGCCTTCTCCTCTTGCAATCTTGTAATCATGGCCATTGCCTCATTTGCAGCAATGGCAGCCGCATTTCTTTCTTCCTCCAACTCCTTGTATAAAGCATTCATGCAACTCTTGTCATACTCAACCTGTCGTTTTAGGTGATCAACAGAACTTTCACCTTCGATTTCACTTACACTGATTCCATCCAAAGATTCGCAGCCAGAATCATGTCTCTCCAGTGAGGATGAAACAGGAAGAGCACATGGACTAGAATCTTCACATTTTGGAAGTGCAGAGAGTTGACTATGAGCTTTCAGACTCATAGTTTTTGATGTTAGACCCATGTCAGATCTAGATACCTGTTTTGGGGACTTTGTATCCTCTTCAATTTTAGTGGAATCGGTGACAACAATTGGCTCCATACCTTCATTATTTGGAGATGATGCATCAGTAAGATTCATAGCAAAAACATGCTCTGAAGAGCTTTCTGTTTCAGCTGCCAAATATCTGGCCACAGATGCATTTTCTTCGTAACTGGTTCCTGCAACATCTGCCACTGTAAACCCAGTTCATGAGTAAGAAATAAATTGCATGAACAATAATAAAGATTGCGTGGATTTTATGATTGCGAACTCATGAACTTGAACCTCTGTTTAAGTTAAAAACACTGGTGATTACTGAACATTGAGCGAAATTTTAAATTGATCACTAAACCTTATTTTTTTAAAAGTTGATCTCTGGATTTAATTTTGTTGAAGTTGGCCATGAACTTTAATATCTGTTACAATTGTTTCATTCCATCCATGTCCATTAATTAGACTGGCAGAAAAGCTGATTAGCAGTCTAATTGGCAAATAGCTAGACTTTGATGTACATTTTCCATTAGTAAAACTAATGGACATGGACAGAGTGACCAACTTCAAACAAAGTTTATGTTGAGTGACCAATGTAAAATTTCATTGGAAGTTTAGCGAAGACCACTATATTTAGCCCTCTGTGGACGCATACAGGCAATATATATAAGCACATCGGGGAGGATGATCAGGGGAGGGACTGAAGCTTACAGTTCAATTGTTTTGTTCCAATATCGGCTGAGGAAGGAACACTGTTCAGTGAAAGAAGCTCAGATAATACAGAGAGGGAAGGTATATGAGAGAGAGAAGGATTGCATTTATGTGTCTCTACTGATGCATCAAAAGGAACTCCTTCAACATCTGGTGGTTGGAATCCATCACCCAATGATATCAGTTCTGCCATTTGAGATAAATTAGGCTTTAAATGAGATTGGTCCCCCTTAAGCTCGTCTGATGTCACAGATATCTTATTCTTGAGCTCGCTTACATCAGGCAGAACTGATTGATCAAATAGTGAAGTTATCGCTTCAGAAGCTTGATGCGCCTGCTTTTCTGATAACACATTTATTCCATGAAAGCCAGATTTTCCTTCATCGTCATCATCAGAGAGAGGGACCTCCGAATCAGAGTCGGAAGTGATATTCAACTTTGTATACCCTACATGAGATATCGAGTCAACACTCTTGTTCCCCGCAAGCTGATTTTTTAACTGTCCCGTGAATTTATCTCTTAACCTCTTGAAGCTATCCCGACGGCTGAATCGACTACGACCAGGTACACGAGGCAGAGGGGGCTTGACATTGGCTTTAGACGCCCCAAAACCTACTAAGGTTAGTTCGTGTAATCTTTCAGCATTCAATTTTGCTTTCCATGTCTTGTTACAACACGAACAAGCCCTTCGACCAGAAGAAACAAGCCGTATATTCTTATTCAACATTAAATTCTGTAGAACAGATCTCTCAACATCCACCAATAATTTACCCACCAACAACCTATATGATTCGGAATTAGATTTATTCTTCATGGCAATTGGCATTAGACATTCTTCACACATCCCATTAATATCAGCAAGTTTATTGTGAACAGAACAAGATACTAAAGATGAAATCTCTCCTATGTGGTCACTGCATAATACACTCCAGTAACATCTAGGTTTCTTATCCCGGATAACAAGATCAAGCCTTGAGCAAAACAAACAAGGTGTTTTCAGTTCACAATAATTAGCAAATTTTGTAAGCAAATACGAAAATGCTGCATCCACAAACAGCAGAAATATCAAGAACCATTCACAAGCTGCAGATGACAATAGAGTCATAGAATCCCGAGGTTTCCTCTTTTTATCAGATGTAATCTCAGCAGCCATTGCAATTCAAAACAATAACTTCAGAAATTACATGAGGTCTTCAGTTAAACAAACCATGGAATACTTTTCGATCGATCCATAACATAAATGTCCAAATACCTTTCTCTGTGAAATCAGTATTCTCGTATCTTTGCAAACCCTGTGAAAATTAAGAAACAATAAAAACTATTAAAGCAAAAATTAAAAAAAAAAATGGTCGAAATGCATCAAGCCAAGATCAGTTCAGGCCAAACCCAACCGGGAAGCAATTTGTATTCATAATTCAAGAATAAAACACAACCTATCTGTCTCTACAAGAATAGAAGCAATCTACATTTCACCATTTAAAGACAAGCCCATTAGATGATAAAGAATTTCAAAAGCCAAACCCTAAATTTTATTTAATCCATTATAGATAAAGATAGAGGAAATTGATTGAAACAGGATAGGATCGATATTCCAAATATGAATTAAAACGACATGGCAAAACAAAAACATGAAATTAAAAGGATGTAATATGTATTCACGCAGTGTTATGCACATATAATAAGAGAATTATTGAAATGTGGTACCTGGATTTATAATGCAAGGACATGAAATGGGGATCAAACGATATTGATCAGCCATGATATGGGAAAATCATCAGAAAAGGGTGAAAATGGAAATGGCATAAAATTACAAAAGAGATCCTTGTCGTGGTAATGATTGACCGTTGAAACCAACTGAATATTTTAAAATTTTCCCAGCTGTCTATCATAACAAAAGTCGATATTCCCATACATTACGCCCATGTTTGGTTCCATTTTCAATAATTTATTTTTTTAAAATTCATTTTTAAATTTTAACCACACACTTTATAAAATTTCATAATTCTATTCAATCACATATTTTATCATTTTTCTCTATCAAAATCTGTTTTTTTTTTTTTTTAACTAAACCAAACAAGGGTATATGTGCAATTAACATAACCTATAATACTTACTCGAGAGTATACTTACATATAAAAATTAGAGTCAGGCAATCTAGTCTTGAAATGCCATGGCACAATCAATATTTTAAAAAAGCCTAAAGCATAGTTAAGCAAAAAGAGCAAACTTCGAGTTTAGATAAATTTATTTTTTTTAAACAAACCTCTTAGAACATTGGGCGCAACACGACTCAAGATGGGCCATTTCTATATTTTTCTTATTTTATACCTTCTAAACAAGGATATCATTAATATCTAGTACACCGACTACATAAACAATATCTCGTGAATATTGTACAAAAAATAACTCATCTAAGTCTAACGACTCTTTCATGTGTACCGATCGAAGAAATATTTGAATTTCTACTAAAATGTTAAGTCAATTGCACTCCTTTTTGTACAATATACAAGAAAGCAGATTATATGTACAGAATGAGGGGTTCTATAAATAAGACACAGCACGGGGCGGGGCGATTTTTTTTTTTTATATAATAAAATATTCACATGGTGTTTTGTAAGTTTTTGTGAAAGTTTTTTCTATCCACAGGGAATTAATGATATACAAGAGAACACTATGGACAGGGAGCACTTGTATTTATAATACTTATTCAAAAATAAGTGACAATCTATAAGCTGACACATTCCAACTCTAAAAAAAGCAAAGAAAAAGAATCAACAAGTGAATTTTATATTGAACGGTGCAAAGTTTTATGCAAATGAAATGGTGTTGTATACGACAACTTAGAAACCAAACAACATCAATGCTCTGCCTCCAAAACCACCATGTCTTTCATTCAAATAAGGAAAATATCTGGCAAAGTCCTTAACTTATTAAATTTGTTCAAAGGTATCCTCAATTATTTAGCATTTAGACTCTTTGTTTGTTTGTAGAGAAGTTTCGACATTTTAGGGGGTTGATAGCCTTACAAGGACAAATAAATATCAAAATCAAATTTTGTCGTCCATCGGCCTTGTTCAAAAATAGTGAACATGATCAATTTATCTACTTACATTTTAATATACCGTAGATACTGGTGATGAATTTCCAAATTTGCATTTGAAACGTTAAATTTTTAACTCTACAATAATCGATGATTGAATTTCTTTTTATGTTAGGTATGAATATTTATGAATTGATGGATATCATTTAGTTTATGGATTGGTGGATATAAGTAATAGTGGAACTAACTTATTTAAAGATTCATCATCAATATGAGGTACATAAAGAAAATATTAAAAGCATAAGTGTTAAGCCACTTCTAGAGTTGGAGCTAATTCTGAATTTCAAAGTTAAGGCCGCCAACTCCCTTCCTTGATCAATCCAACTGTCTCCACCTAAAAATTAATTAGGGGTTACAACTCATTGAATCAAGTTACTACAAATGCAAGTAGGACATGTATATAGGTATCCTATTCAATTAATTTTTGACACTAGCAAGAGTCAGTATTTATGGTGGCAGAGTTTTTTGTGAGAATACAACATGTGTTACTTCAAATCTTTGATTCACCGTATCAATTTGTAATGTTGGAACAATAGCGTAATTAAGCTATGTGTTCTATGGGCGATGGTATATGTCAAAATTTCTCTAGATTTTCTATCTTCGGAGTACACTAAAATAGTAATGTGTGCACTTGAAAGTCGAACATTGGTCAACCACATGATCTAGAACGTGTTTGGCAAAAATATTTGATTTCTTATATATTAGTATGAAATTCTTAAGTCCAGCTTATAAATTAGATAAGTTGAGAATTTCTAGCTAATCGGGCTTATTAGATAAGCTTATGAATTTTGGTGTGGAACCTTAAGAAAGCAACTTGAATATCAATCGTAAGGTAAGGTACGACAAACTCCATCTAAACAATTATCATATTCTCAACTAAATACGACCTTAACTCAAATTCACATCAACTTTGCATATACCTACCATAAGTGTAGAAAACAGAACCCACACGGGCGAGGTGAAGCCAATTTCAACTTACCGCCGGCTATATCCCCATAAACACACAAGGAGCTACCTTTCTAATGTAGCAAGAGATAAGATTCTTTGGAGAGAGGTTTGGATACAATTTTTGCTTCCTCGCTATCCATCTTTCATGTCGACAAAGAGTTACGTTGACAAAAGATTGTTAAGTTTAAAGGTTTTCGAATGAAAAAAACGGGGGAATTTGATAAAAAACTAAAACTTCGAACTCTTTAGTTACTATGTTATGCCTGTGTCCGACACGATATGATACTACAACCTTCGAAAAGATAGAGAGAGAAATGTAACTGGGTTAAAAGAAACAACAAACGGTGCTACACCAACTTCAGTAGAAAGTAATTCATCAAGAAGCTCACCTCCACGAATAAAAAATGGTTGATTTTAGAACATATATTCTTCGATGATGATTAGTGCACAACAAAGCCAAAATGTTAATGCAACAATTACTTCTTCGCAAAGTCCTTTCTGACGCCTATCTCAGCAGACACCAAATGGCAAACTAGAAGATAATCTACAAATTTGTCAGACCAACCAGCATAAGCTCTGCAAGGAAGTATGCTTCAGCATTTTATGTGAAAACAATGTCAATGCAATCCCAAATTATTAAAGCAAAATATAAACAGCAGCGCTTGCCTAACATTCACATATTACAAATACTTTAGCCGCTTTTTCTTAGTTTAGGATTATTATAGAAAATATAAAAACCATCTATTTTGATATTGTAAGACTTCGACTCTCTTAAAAGTTATTGAACTAGATATTAAACCTTATTCCTTGTGAGAACGATAAACAAGACATCGCTTTCTTACTCCTTACTCCAATCTATAGTTCAATGATCGATAGGCTTTGAAGATCTAAGGCAAAGGAAGATCATGCCTAAGGCAAAATTGTTTCAAGCACGGATAGAACCGGAAGCGCTCCTTCTTTCAAGCTTTCGGGATTATGGAAGTTTTGAAATTAATGGAAAGATAATCTACTTTCATTAAATGATTTATTAGATAATCGAAAACAGAGGATCTTGAATACTATTCGAAATTTAGAAGAACTGCGTTGGGGGGGGGCATTAAACAGTTGGAAAAAGCCCTAGCTCGCTTACGAAAAGTGAAAATTCGCTAATTTCTATTAATTGTCAACGATCTCATACACTTACGGGTTTCACACGAACAATACACCCATATTTTAACTCATTTAGGATCTGTTCGATAATGATTATGAGAATTGATTTTTTAATCGTTAGAGAAAAAAGTGAATCTCACATGTAAATGAAAAAGTCAAAAATGATGGTGGGGGGGGGCATTAAACAGTTGGAAAAAGCCCTAGCTCGCTTACGAAAAGTGAAAATTCGCTAATTTCTATTAATTGTCAACGATCTCATACACTTACGGGTTTCACACGAACAATACACCCATATTTTAACTCATTTAGGATCTGTTCGATAATGATTATGAGAATTGATTTTTTAATCGTTAGAGAAAAAAGTGAATCTCACATGTAAATGAAAAAGTCAAAAATGATGGTTGAAATAGTTAAATAACAATCAAAATATTAATTTTTTTGGGAAAAAATTGTTACCAAACAGGGGCTTATATTCTTTAATACCGACCCAATGTTCAATTGCCAGCCAATTCATAAATTTATGTACCTAATTTGCCAAAAAGCAGGATTATGAAGTACGCAATCCTTTTAACGTACAGAGTTCATTTGTAAAAGTGTAAGAATCCTAAAATAAACTGAATGCAAAGAAACACAAATCAAATTGAAGAACATCTCCACTAAACAAAAGATTATAGGGCCATCTGCAGCATTGTACCAAATTTTGCACCCTTTTGCATCAAATTGAAATTCATCTTCAACAATTACACCAAAATTTATTCTAAATGAACAGTATTTAATCATTTTCTTCCATTTTTTTATTTAAAAGATTATCATAAATTACTAAATAAAAAATTACGTTAAATTACGGAAAAGTTCAAATTCATTAATAATATAAAAAATAGTACAATTAATAAAAACACTACAACAATAAAAATATTAAATCATGATATTAAAAAATAGTGTAATGCATTTCGAATTAAGATATTATGATACTATGAAGTTGAAATATTATTGCAATTTTTAATTCTCGGAATTCATATGTTCTTCCCACAAATGATAGATTAATACATTTCGAAGTGCAATGTGAGCCTCTTTATCCTTAATTTGTCTATGACGAGTAAGGAATTCTACGTCGTCATTTAATATATTTCCTATTAACTTTAAGAAATAATCATATTTGTTATATTTTAAATTTTTCTTCTTTTAATTAATTCATTAATTATTATTTTTTACATTTAAAATTTAATTTAAATGCAAATAATAATAATAATAATAATAATAATTTATTGTATTGAAACATATATAACAAAAATACCCTTAGTCAATGTATTTGAAAAATGAAAAGAAAGGTCAAAAAAGAGTGTACACCTTGTACCAAAATGGTGCAAACTATAATACTTTTGCAAAAGAGTTGTTTTGCACCATAAAATGGTGTATTTTTGTGTTTTGGATCATACATTGAAAATGGCCTAGGAATGCTTAAAATCCCTAAAAATTTAACCAACCATAGAATATCACAATGTGGATAATGAAAGAATCAAGCATAGGTATTAAATGATCTTCTCATCTCACAAGGAAATGAATGCATAATTATGAAGGACAGGGAAACCCACTTGAACAACCCTTCAAAAATTGGGGGTTGTGTGGCACCCCTCCTATTGGGGCGAGGAGGGGTGCGCCTCCAACTGGTTTTTCAAGGGGTTGTTCAAGAAGCACCCTCATGGAATGAAGGAAACGCACAAAGAAATCTTTTCAAGTACATTGTACACAATCATTTGATACTAGAATAGGCAGATGAAAACTCTCTGAATTCTTGAGTACCATAATGCCATAAACCAATCTAATCGACATTTCCCAATTATCTTGGTACGTTCTAACACATCAATAAAATTCATGTTTTTCAGAAAGAGAGAGTATATAGACTATCAAAGTATTTACAATTGTACTATATCCACGTCGATGTTGACACACCAATGTACACGCCCCTCACAAAAAAAAAGCCAACACTATTTTTTATTGGGCATGTATCCCGCTGTTATATGAGGAACATGTACACCAACATTAACATATCAATGTACAAATGGTAAAATTCGAGTTTTGTGTTTTCGAAATAGGCTGGCTGCAATAGCTACCTAGGTCATTTCCAAATTCGGCTGTCAAAAAAATTGCAAATGACAAACGATCTAAAATTTCTCAGAGGCAACAATTTATGATTAAGTAGTGTAATCAATTGCCCATTTAGATAAACCCCATGGCCATACTGTTAAGTATCCTCTCACTATCTCACAGAAAGGGTGAAAATAATAGTATTACCAAATATCATGCATCTGCTCAGGCTCAGGCTCCCTGCAAACTATCTATACAGACGCACAAATCAGTTCAGGAATCTATAAGGTAATAAAAACACAAATGAAGTTGAAAAAAATCTCTGCTGAACACAAGATTATAAGAACGCTTAATCATCCCTAAAATTCAAAGCCCTAAGAATAATAGAAGCGGAGAAACAAGTAAATTTTAAAAAAGAAAAAGGTAGATTATGTAAGGCTTCGTTAACATAAAAACCAGCTACGCACAACTAAAAAGGATCAAGACAAATTTACAGAATTATCCCCACAAACGATAGCTATTTCCGATACTAGGCCCCTCTCACTTCTTTCCCTTCTTAACAGCTACTTTCTTTACGGGAGACTTGACACTCTTCGGCTTCACGCTCCTAGCCGAGGTCCTCTTAGCAGCTGGCGCAGCCTTCTTGGGAGCCGCCACCACCTTCTTCCCAGGAGTAGTTCTCGACGAGGTCCTTGCCACCTTAGCCGGTGGCTTCTTCTCCGTTTTTGGCTTAGCTACTGCCTTGGTCTTGGCAGCCGCCTTTGGCTTAGCCGCTGCAACAGCTTTAGGTTTTGCAGCTGGCTTCGCCTTAGCACTTGGCTTCGGCTTAGCAGCTGGCTTTGGGTAGGCTTTTGAAGGGCCAGGCTTCTTCTCCTTAGTGATTTTCAGAGAAGAAGCTTTCGGCTTGGCGACTGGAACGGGCTTCTTCTTAACCGGTGCAGAGGCAGCTGGCTTCGGAGCCGACGGGAGCTTGTACGAACCCTTCACTTTGACCAGCTTTCCAGAAGCCACGAACTTTTTCAATTGAACCAGCAAAAGCCTCTTGAAATTCGGTGGGAGATTCTTCTGCTTCTCCTCAATGAACTTTGTAATTGCGTACTGACTAGAACCAGTTTTCTCCTTCAGCGTCACAATCGCATCCTCAATCATCTGAAATACAAATTTCAGCCAAAAAAGGGGAAAAATCAGATCTAAAATTCATAAAAACGAAAATCCAATACAAAATGTAAAAAAAATGAAAAACAAACAGCCAAATACCTCGAGATAAGGAGGATTACGCTTTCGCGGGACAACAATAGCTTTTTTAGGCTTGGATTCCTTTTTGGTGGTGGCTTTCTTAGACTTGGCTGTTTCCGCTGGAGGGTTCTCTCCAACAGCATGTTCATCTCCGACCCGTTCGGCCACACCCTCAATAGGGACAACAGGTTCTTCAGTGGTCATAATGCTAATTTGAAATCAAAAAACTAGGGAGGACTAGTTGTGGTAATTTGAAGAAATTGAGAATCTCAATACAAATCTACTGGAATTTTGGAGGGGTTGAGCGATGATCAATGGGAAGAAATGGGCAGGGTTAAATAGCGAGCGTTAGGGGGCTGCTGAAAGCTGATTGGCTGAAGGCCATTGAGACGGATCGAAACTTTGACTAAAGTTTAAACTTAGGCCGTCGGATTGGATTTAATCTACGGTCTATAATCTAAGATGTTGAGACTTGGATTGGGATGCAGAGTAGTAGCTGTTTTGATGCCCTAGAGGTGTGTTTTTGTGCTTGATTTAACTGGGAATAAATTGATCTAGATTGGATGGACTACGGTGAGGTTTTTTTTATTTTGTAGGGAATTTCATAAGCTTTCTGAAGAGTATTCGTGGGAGTCATGAGTTTTTTCATTTGGGAGATATTTAATTCAGAAGCAAATGTGGTCGAGACGAGGGTACTCATGGAGCATATTGTGGTTTTGGAGCCTTTTATGATAATGCTTGAAACAAATAGCTGGTTTCCACAGTGGATTTGATAGTACTTGAACCGATGAGTCCGTAGTAACAAGAATCGTGCAAAATGGATCATATTTGGACCGAAAATAAAATTTCAAATTGGGTCGAAGATGAACATTTTAGACAATTAGGATATTAGGATACACTTTGTTACCAAAATTTGGTTTCCACTAAAACTACATTATATTTCAACACATTATTGTTCGTTAAAAGTATAGAATACAAAATCTTAAATTGAGGACAAAGTTAATATTTACATTGCACATTTATCCCTCGTTTATTCATTTTGTCACGTATTGTAACATATTGGCCACCTATGGAAAATTTTGGCAGACATTGTCCACTTAAATATTTATAATTTATCTTTTATCGGAGGATTAATTTATCATAATTTATCATCACTCTTTCTCTAATCCTCTCTGGTACATGTTCACAATTAGTGCAATTCTCCATTGGAGATGCTATTTTCTCCATTCCCTAATTTGCCTGCCATATGTACAAATTATTAACATTTTTGCATTGAAAATGCTCTAATATCACTCAATCTTCCATTGAGGCCACATTGATGAATGACAATTCCAATCGTGACACCTCCACCATTGGCCTTTATGGAGCATATTTCTAGAGTAGCTCGTATTGGAATCAAATTTTGATATATATTTTATTAGATTGACTCAACTTCTCGTGGGAACGCTGTGAATTATCCCTTTTTGCTTACTTGTTTTTGTGTAGAAATTTCAATTGAGTAAAAATGAAACCATTTAGGAAAATATATCGTGATAATTGCATCTTTGGTCATCGATCTCACAACAGTAGCAAATCAGTCTTCTATCTTTAGAAAAAGTGTGCGTTAATCTCAATATTTCATTATAATTACACAATCAATCATCAACAATAATGATCGTTCAAATGCTATTAATTCAACAAAAATTATAAATGTGATACTCTTGAAACAATGAATTTTATGCGTTCTTACTCACAATTTCCACTTCTACAAGAATTTTATACCTTTAATAAATTCATCTTTTATCAATGCGCTTACTAATGTAGTCGTTAAACTTTACTATCTTTCTTGGAATGTAATCTTACAATCATCAAAAAATCTTTCTTCGAATTCCATTTTACTACCGTCCATTTGACTTCCTCTTATTTCATTTTCTAATTTCTATCTACAGTTTTCTGACATTAAATCTTTTCTAACTATATTAAATGTACAATATATATCTATTAATGCTATCAAATTTAATTTTATCATTTTGTTTATCTGTACTTCTATGGGTATTCTGATCTTTTTGTCGTCTTTACTCTAGATATTTGACAAATTATTTCTTGATTTTTTGTTTCCAAATAATTATTTCTGTGTAATTATCTATAGATTGTTTTCCTTTTATTTCTAGTTTTCTGATCATGTATTGTATTTCTCATAATGTTTCGTGTATTTTATCTATTTTATTATTTGTTTCTATTATTTTATTTTCTAATATTTTTATACTTTCACTACAGTCTTTATTTTTATTATTATTTATTTCTTCTTTAATCTCTAAACAATTATTGTATTGAATTTCTAGACAATTCTTACACTGATTTCTATTTTTATGTCTTGGGTATATTTTGCATATTTTACATTTATCCATCATTGATCCTTGTCCTCTAATCCATTCATGGATACATTTTTGTTCTACACTCATCATCTTTATATTTAAAACTGAAAAATCTAATTCTTCTAAGCTATCATAATTGTCTTCAGGATTACTTATTATTTTTAAATTATCTAACTCTTCATCTATGTAAATACTATATACTGAGTTACAAGATTTGTTATCAGATAATTCTATTATGTTGCATTGTATTTTTTTAATTATCATAGATTTAGCTGTATTTTCTTTATTTTTATATTTATTTGGGCATTTGTTAGCAAAATGTCTAGGGTCTGCACAAATATAACATTTACAGTCTTTTTTAGTTTTTGATTTTCTAACATATCTATTATAATTGGGTTTTTTATTTTATAGCATGTCCTACTTGGTCTAATATTATATTTCTTTTTATTTTGATATTGCCTTTTATATTTTTATATTTTTATTTTATTTATACAATTTTTCTTTCTTCTGCTATAATTATATGTATGTGGTGTATATAAATCTAAGCAAAAAAAATAATTTAATTTTTTTTTTTTTTTGCTTGCTAGCTACTTCTTCTACACAATACTCTTTTAATTTATCAGTTATAAATTTTATGGTAGCACTAATAGTTATTTCCCTTATTGGGTTTGACTTTACGTCTTTTATAATTTTATCATTTCATGGTGGTGGTGTCTTTCTATATAATCTTTCAAATATACGGTAATCTAATGCTAATCCTATTGCGCTTGCTAACTGTTCAAAGTCTAACAAAAATGGTTGTATGTATTTCATATAACTAATACTTAATTTTTCTAAATCTTCTAAAACTTTATTTTGTTCATAAGTGTTATCTCTATTGGGATCAAAACCTATAATTAATTCTCTAATAAAGCTTGTAAAATTTCTAGGATTATCTCTTCCAGTCATTCGTAATCTAATTTCATCTGATTTTAGTTTTTTGTTGTAACGTATACATCTAAAACAGTATTTCCTAAATAATTTTCTAAGTAAGCCCACATTTCTTCTACACTCACTTGTATAGGTATACTATTATATGCTCTAATTATAGAATTTTCCCATTTAGTTCTAGTACTAGGTCTGTCTTGTGGTTTACAATTATTTAACTCTAAGATTAATCCTCTATCGATTGCTAATGGTAAACTACATCATTCTTTCGTTTGTTTTTTTCCTAAGCTTTTATATTTTTTTATCAGTCCATTCGAAGTCTCTTGCAGGGGGAAAAGGATATTTACCTCGTATATTATATTCTGTATTCATGGATTCTTTTCTTTTTCCAAATTCTTGATCTGTTTCCATTTTAACTCTCTTGCTAGTTTCTTTCATCTTGATTTCTATGTATTCTTGATTTTTTTTTATTAACATTCTAGTTTCTATCTCTCTAACTTTTCTAAGATTTCTATAATATTCCATATCTATATATCTAAATTCTTTTTCATCATCCTCACTTTCATCTTCTTCACTATCTTCATCTAGAGCATGAATTTCGTCTTCACCTTAGTAGTCCTCCATTTCAAAATGTCCACATTCTTCTTCATTTTCTTCCTTATTATGTTGTGTCTGTTCTGCTTGATAATTATAATTTTCAAATCTAATACTTAAAGTTCCATTACTATTTTTGTGCATAATATTATTTTTTGGTACTAATATTGGTTTTGTAGAAAATTTCCTAAGTTCCAATCTAATCGTGCATATGCTTCTGAAGAGAATTTCTTTGTTGGGATTGCCTTTATACCTTTTTGTCCTAATAATGTAATTATTTGATTATTTTCTAATTTATAATGAGTAATACTATTTTCACTTAGTCTTCCTATGAATCATGTGCAAATTAATAAATTATCCTCATATATTTTCATTTGATATCATTTACTTTTTATTCATATTTTAATATATTTATAGAAATTCTTTGTTCTAACTAAATAGTCTCGTGTAAAATATATTATTCCACATTTATTATTCATATATAATTCTATATCTGTGAATCTTTTATGATATAAACATACTAATACTTTAGTTCCTAAATTTTCTCTATGAAGTCCTTTTACTCCTATTATTATTAATCCTAGATGAGTCTGTTGAAAATTTTTATTAACAATTTCTTTATAAGATTCTTTTTCTATTAAATCTAGAGATATAAATTGATCTTCATGTGTAGAGAAAATAAAAATTTCTCCATAATGCCGATATATTAAAGATTTGCTAAATATATTTCATTTTTTATATATGTCTAAAACTTTTACTAATTTTAGTTTATTCTATCTAAACATTTTTTTTTGTTTTTCTGTATCTATTAGAAATTATAGTCTTATTTCAGATTCCGTTTTTCTACTTAACGTTCTTAATAAAGGATTTACCTATTAATTTACTACTACTTGCTACGATTTATTTTCCCTTATCCATTATGGATAGATTTACTTAGTTTTCTTAAATTTACTAGGTTCTTTAATTTTACTTAAATCTAATATTTTTAGTTTATTTATTATATTATCTAAATTTTGTCTATTATCTGTTGACTTTTCTTTTTCTAATATTTTAACTATGCTTTCCAAATTTTCTAAGTTAGGACTAGATTGTGTTTCTCCTATATTATTAGATTTTTTTTTAATATTTCGGTATTTTGATTTTTAATATATTCTAGATTTGTTTCTAAAATTTTTATATTTTTATTTATATTTTCTAATAAAGTTTCTACTCTTCTATTTGAATTGTTCCTTTCTAAATTTTATCCTAAATTTACAAATAAGTTTACAATACTATTTAACTGTTTATCTTCACTATGTAAAGTATGTCTAAACTTATTATCAAAATTACAAATTAGAGAAGCTACTTCTAAGTTATCTTTTCTTTTTATAGTTTCCTAAAATTTTTAAATTTAAATACTCATTTTTTTTCATAAACTATATAATTTCTGGCTATTCTAAACTCTAATACC